AAGTCCGTTTAATTTAACGATTTTAGTTCAACTCATTTGTTGAATCAACTTTTTTAACAGACATGTAGAATAAAGTAGTTCTCATGAAATATCATTTACATTTGATTGCAATTCTGATGTAAGCGGAAGTCCTTCATGAGCAGTTCAAGGACTTTTGAAAAGTAGAAATCTGACAATTCATTCTGATTTAACAGCTTCTTCATGTCATAAATAATCTAAGATGAGTGATGTACCGTACATCTTAGACAGATAGTTGGACAAAACTTCACTTTTATCTTTTTAATTGGTGTTGTTTTTTTTTTTTTTTTACTACTTCTGACTAATAAATGATCTGATGGAAGGTCGACAACAGCCTCCTCCTCTCGTCTTAAGAAAAGCGAGCAGCTTAAAGTCATCTATCAGCAGATTCTGTGGGCGTTTCACAACAGCAGTAAGCTTCTCAGAATCCTTCCCGCTAAGCTCGTTTCTCTTCATCGTGTTTAAATCTGTTTCTTGTCAGCGTTCGGTGAGACAATAGGAGGCTAAAGACTGAGGAGGAGAGTCTTCAGATGTGAAGGAAAGCGAGGTGTAGCCCAAAACGAAGCAGTCGTTTATCCACCGAGGGCCGAGTTTTATACGTTTTACCACAATAAAAACCTACAATAATGACATCATACTTGTTGGTTTTTCTCACTGCATTCGTTTTAATTTCATCTTCTAGCTTCTAGCGGTTCCCGAACTCATGCATGTGCAAACAAACATCAACGGATTTCTTTAATGAAAGAGGAACATTTACAAATTCTCAGATTCCCAGGCAGCTTTTGCTTCTTTCTTCTCCACTTCCTGACATTTCCAAGCAGATTCATGCACATTCTGCTTTGTGCAGCTCAGATAATGACGGCGTCGCTCACTAAATCACGTCTGTCTCTTCACTTTTTCAAATTATGGCAAGAAAAACAAAAACATAAGCAGCCTGATGTGCTCCATGACGGCATATTTTGCTCCTTTTTGTCCCTTCAGCTCCATACATGTGCCATAATCTGTAGTTTACAAGATAAACAACGTAAGAGCCCAGGATGTTAAGATGGCAGCGTCTGAGGCCGGAGAGTCGACAGCGAGCGGAAACAGGCGCGTCGATGTCGTACATACGTCTAAAGTGCTCTATTGATTTACTGAGTATTTCCTTAATTAGACTCGGTGAGCTGAGAAGCTGAAGGCTGAGGCGCCGTTCTGTGACTCTTCTTGTTCCTTATCGGGTTGTTTGATGCGTAAATAATCGATTTTTGTAGATTAAAAGTTTCGTACTTATTGTGAAACGGCACAAATATGACGAATGATGGTTGTATTGCCAAAAAATCACTGAATTATTCTGCACAAATTTTAAAAAAAGACTGTCCACAGGCTTTAGTAAAATTAGAAATAAAAGGTCGATATTTTACTACTTGTTTCCGTATTTTTCCTGCTCTGTGTGAACGCTGCCTGCAGTTCAGCTGAAAAGTCCCTGAATTTTTTGCTAAGTGACCGTTGATCACAGCTGAACCAATAAAAGCTCATTAGTTGCGTTGAGGAGGGCAGAATTTTTTGTTTTTTGCAGAATGGAGTCGAACTAAACGGCTTGTTTTTGGTACATTTTTCAAATGTGATGATTTGAAGCGGGGCTGCAGGGTGGCTCAGTGGTTAGCACTGACGCCTCGCAGCAAGAAGGTCGCCGGTTCGCGTCCCAGTGGGGGCACCGGAATCTTTCTGCGTGGAGTTTGCAGCGTGGGTTCTCTCCGGGTTCTCCAGCTTCCTCCCACAGTCCAAAAACATGTTGAGGTTAATTGGCGATTCTAAATTGTTGGTAGGTGTGAATGTCAGTGTGCTTGGTTGTCTGTCTCTAAGTGTAGCCCTGTGATAGACTGGTTACCTGTCCAGGTGAACCTGTCTTCACCCTGAGTCAGCTGGGATAGACTCCAGCCCCCCATGACCCTGGTGAGGATTAAGGTGTAGAGATCATGGATGGATGATTTGAAGCTGCTTCATTTAGTTCGGTTGCCTTCAGGAAGTTTCTTTTCACATTTTAAAAGTCTACTCCAAAATGTGCTTGACAATTAGACAGAACTGTGTGATTTGGGAAGCTTTAGGGTGGAAGCCAGTGTGATGACTGAAGGCGGATGCTGATGGTGCTCTCGGCCTGATGTTCATTTATTCATGACCGGCGCTCAGATCAGCAGACGTCCTCCTTCTTTTGCGGAGCTCTTTGTCTGCTTGCAGCAGTTGCAGCTTTAGTTTATGTCTCTTGGTCGCCACGCATCTGATCCGGCAGCGTCACCGGCCTCCGTCCAGTGAGGGACGAGCCCAGCAGCCAATGGCGTGGAGGCCTCGGGAGGCTTCTTACGTCTGGAGCTTGTTTCAAAATGAAGACGCTAAAAATACGGCTCGTGATTCAGTCCGCCGAGCTGCGCTGACATGTGGACGGAGCCGCTCGCTGTGTTTTTATCCTCCTCCATCTGGATGTGAGAGCTGTGAGAATAGCGAGACTGCAGAGGCCACGCAGCCAATCAGATCGCAGCACTCGACAGCTACACACACACACACACACACACACACACACACACGGGCTGCCGACGTCCACCTGCTCCGTTCCCATGCAGCATTCATGAAAGCACGAGGCTGTCGTAAACACCAGTTGTGTATTTCTTCTGTCACAACCGTCGTCTCCGTTTAAAGACGTTTCTGCACGATTTCCTGCAAAAGTGCTGCAAAAATGCTGCTTCCTGCTGTTGCAGTTGATGCAGTTCTGCTGTCAGACCAGCAGGGACCGATAGAGGACCTGAAAACCCACGTCCAGAGCTGCTGCTGTCCCAGATGTGGGTTTTACGAGTGGACACACAGATTAAGTAGCTAAATACCCCAAATGATACCCCTGTCTGCTTCAGGCTTCGTATTGTTTCACAACAGAGCTGCAGCTGTCAGGAAACTCATCCAGAAGATGCTCTCGTTTGTCTGGTTGCTTTTCTTCACCATTAGTGCCAGTAAAGTGCAACGATTTAAGCAAATCACATCATAAGTCAGTCATTTTCGTCTTCAGTTCAGCCGACAAGTCCCTGAATTATTGTCACATGACCGCGAGCTGCAGCTGATTCACCCAAAGCTTCACATTTACAGCAAAGGGTGCAGGATTCTCTTTTTTTTTTTGCATAATGTTGTTTATCGAAAACCGATTATTTATGGCATTTTTTGAAAATGACACCTGCAGAACAAGTGATTTTAATTAAAACATTCTGATTTTCTGACCAAACTGAACGTCGAGCAGGACGATCAGAAATTCAACCGTCTCAGTGTTTCTGGATCGTTATTATCTCACCAACAAATATTTGATTCATTTAGAAAATAAACCGTCAGATGAACCCTCTGAACTCCAAAACCTGCCGTCAGGTTTAAAAAAAAAAAGGTTACTGTCAAATAAATAAATAAATAAATAAAATTTAAAAATCACCAAAATGAGTCTGTTTATCAGAACCAGAAACTTTAAAAAAAAAGTCCTCGAACGTATCCTGTGTGACTTTCACCTGGAATTACAGCCGAGTCTGAGCTTCAAAATCAGGATTTCTTTTCATCAAAATCACTTCATTATACATGTTTTGTAAAATAAACAAATTAAGTTTGCAGTAACTGGATTGCTTCGTAGCACAAACATGAGACTCAACTGTCACCTCACAGAGTCGGGGACTTCTCTGCTGAACTGCAGGAAGTGTTTTCAGTGCAATATGTTCTGTTTCCATTCAGGTGCAGGACTTTATATTACAGTAAAAAAAAAAGAGCTCACAGTGAAGTGACAGGAAACGTAACGAGTCCCGCAAAAGGTTTATGAACACATGAAAGAAAAGAACTGAGAGAAACGAGAAACTACAAATGATTCTGTCCATCAAGCTGTCAGTTCTCAATCGATTGGTTGATTGATCTTTAAAATATCAGAAAATGGAGGAAAATGTCAACAAAATGTCTTGTTTTGTTCAAAGATGTTCCGTTTACTGTCATGGAGGCAAAAAAAAACCCAAAATATTAAATTTAAGAAGCTGAAATTAGAAAATGTTGAACTTTTCCCTAAAAAAAAAAAAAAAAAGACTCAAACCGATAAATTGATGACCAAAGTAGTTGGCGATGAATCATTGCAGCTCCAGTTTGTACACTATTGTCTTCTAGATTAATCGGGAATTATGGGACAGGAACAGGGATCTGGGCAGGTTTTGTCTTTTGATCCGTATTGATCCACGTCAAACTGCATTCACCGGTTGTGGAACATCTGTACGCGGAGGAGCCAGATGTGGCGCCTCAGATGAACGCAGCTGTCGGCGATGGCATCCATCCCACGGCGTAAAAAAAAAAATCAAACCGGTGAAATTTAAGGAGCTGCTGTTGCCATAGTAACCGCCCCCCTCCTCCCTCCGCGGACACCGACGGCGGATCATTAAACTCCGCACGATGAGCGCCTGTATGTCGGGGTTGAACTCCAGCAGCTTCCTGCTCATTACCTGATCGACAAACACCAAAAGAGCTGCAACCCAGATCCACTAGTACGTTCAATTTAGCCTCTCCTGATGTTATATACTGTACATGGACCTTTTTTTTTTTGGCCAGTAGATTCATCTATCAACCCTCTGAAGCCCAAAACCAGCCGACGGATTTGAAAATCGCCAGAATGACACCATTTGTCAGATTTTTGACTTTCCGAAGGTTCTTTTCAACCCTGACGTGCAGCTGGATCCAGAAACTCGACCAAACCTGCGCTTAAAATTGCGATATTTCATCAAAAGCACTTTATTCTACATGCTTCATTGAAAAAAAAAAAGGCCAAAAATATTCTCTTTATACCAACAAGAGTCAGTTAAAACTCGCTCGTCGGTGAAATTGTGAAGCTGATGGTGACTCAGAGGGCTATAATGACCATTTCTTTACAGTGTCGGTAACAAAAAAATGATTAAAAGTTAATTTTATATAAAACAACAAATAATCAGAGAAATTCAACTTTTACATTTTTATTTTTTTAATGGTTTATGGTGTTTTAAGTCTATCACAGACGTTTTTTAAGTTCTCTCTACTTCCTTGTTTCTAATCCCGACCTCATCCATTTGCCTAAAACTACGATCCAGCAAACGGAGAACATTTCCATCAACTACGAATAAGCACAAGACTCTGTCAGCGGAGCACGCTGGATCCTATCACAGGAGCAGCTGGTCTAATCTTCATTATCATGGTTTTTACGGAGTATTCGAGGCCTTTGAAAGTTTTCCACTGCACGCCGGCTGCGTGCGGCGAAGGCCCCCAGGTGTAGATGCCGTTGGGGTTGGAGTGGAAGCACGCCCCGTACCAGAACGCTCCGTAGGCCAGCCTGGCGCAGTTGGAGTTATGCGTGTCTTGGTCTTTGTCGGTGGTGGTGAAATTACACCCGTTGTGATAACTCAGGGAGTCTCCTAATGGGGCAAAGAAACGCTGCTCAATACAAGCTCTACAAACCTTTAAAAAGGATTCTAAAATGACATAATAGCGTAAAAAAAAAGGCAGAAACAGTGTCCAACCTGCTGCCCCCTTGAGGAAGGGCCCCAGATGTAGCTTGTATTCGTCCCACTCTGGACCCACCGAGAAGGAAGCGTACTGGGCAAAGACTTTCTGACCCTCAAAGTCTTCCATGTCGACCTGCAGCTCGTAGGGCTTGGATCTGGTCAGCAGGTGCATCGTCTCCAGGCCTGAAAGATCATCGGGGAACATCGGAAATCAATCTTCTGGTTAGACGCTCGAGTGGGCGGCGTTGAGGCCAACATCTGGGTTTGTGCATCGCCCCGCGTACCGACCGACGTCGACTTTATTTGAAGCGATCAAGTCGTACTACAACATCTAAACTAGGAAAAACATGACTTCATATGTCTACAGTAGGCATGCTGATCCGTTATTGCCTCTGATTAATCAGGCCGAACATGCATATCAGTGACCAAACCATACAGGAGCAAAGCGTTCTCAATCTTCACCACATCTGTAAACATCTGTGAACGGGTTGTAAATATTTGTAATTCAACCAACTGCAGCAGAAGCAGCTTCGCTCCTTTATAAATAATTTGTGTCGCACCCAGCCAGTACTCTCCAGCAGCGCTGCCAAATCCGGCCTTGTAGTGATCCCACTTCATGTAGAAGTTCACTGTGCCGTCCTGTCTCCTCTGAATGACCTGGTTTCAGACAGAAATCCAACAAACACAAACGTCAGTGAGAGAGAAATGAATGTAGTAGCAAAGATGACAGTGTGGTGCTACTTTCTCCAGCTGGTTTCCAGAAACGGATTTCAGCGGCAAAACTCACATTTAGTTAGAGTGAGGAAGGTGGACATAGTGCAGCGTTTACAGACACTTCAAGAGACCAAAACCGAGCAAATCATTGAGTTAATAATTCATTAATGTGTCACGTGGGGAACATTTTCTGCTCATCGTTTTTGGTTTTACGTCTGAGTTTTGTGTCATTCTCGAGTTCCCATCGGTGTCCAGATGCTGGTTTTATCAGTGACTAAACTTTTGGTCGACACAGTGAAGCATTTAGCAGCTGAGCAGTGACGTATTTCCCTCAATGAGACCAAACACAAGAGTCAGCATTGAATTAAACTTGTTATGCACGGAACATTTCTGCGTTTTCCGGCTCATTGTTTTTACAGTTTTGCTTCGTTCTTGAGTTCCCATCGGTTCCCAGAAGGTGTTTTCAGGGATAAAACTCAGATTGTTTGGAATCTGAGAAAAGAGAGTCGAGCTTTCGGACATCTAGCAGCCGAACAATCACATGTTTTACTTCATATTTCACAATATTTCTGCTGATTGCTTTGGTTTGACGTCTGGCGATTTCATAGTTTTGCTTCATTCTTGAGTTCCCATCGGTGTCCAGGAGCTGCGTTCGGGGATAAAACTCACATTTATATGCAGCCTTTTTAACATTTAGCAGCCAAGCGGTCCCATATTTCCCCTCGTGAGACCAAAACCGAGCAATTATTACTAAGTTGGATGAGCTTGTCTGTTTCCTCCGTCCTCACCCACCGTCCACTTCTCTGCAGAAGCGTCGTCCTTGCTCATGTCGCAGTACACCTGCACAGGTGAGGTGCTGCCTGCAGGGTAGATGGTGTAAACGCCGTCCAGGCCCGACCCGGCTCTGTAGACGTCGCTGCAGTCGAAGGGCAGCGGGGACGGACGAGCAGCGAGCGGCAGCAGCAACGCTAGCACGACTCTGAGCTGCAGCAGAGACAGAAAAACACAAGAATGAATCGCATCCGGCTTTATTCCCCAGAGACCTGCAGCCTCACACAGGTTCAGGGCGTCACAGTCGGTGGTAAAGTGTGGAAAATCTACTGATAGTTTACAGATTGTCTCTGTTTTGTTAAATAACAGATAACGACTAGCAAAGCCCCAGCAAATAGTGTTACAGGTACATTTGAGTCCTCTCAAAAAAAAAAAACACTAAAGAAAAGACAATAATAAAAGGAAAGTTACTGTAAATAATAACAAATATGAATTTGTTCTTTCAGGATGTTTGACCAGAACATCACAGTTTTATAATAATAATAGAATTATTTTACAGATATTTTTGTGTATTAAGGTTTGAAGAGGACTTTTCTTGTTTTTGTTAAATTTCAGATAATATCTAATTAAGTACAAAATAAAGAAAAAAGTAATTAGTTACATGTTGGACACGAAGAACAACCACATAAAAAAATCTGTATTTTTATAAAGAGTGATTCAGTTTTTTTATAATGTGTGACCATGAAATACCAGTATTTTTACTGTGTTTAAATTAGTTTTTAAAAAGATATTATTTTACAGATATTTGCTGTTATTTAAGAGAAAAATTGTGAATACTAATGATTTCAAAACAGTTATTTTGCAAATTTTTCTGTTTTGTTCAATTACTAAAAAATATAATATAGTATAAAAAAGATAAAATTTAATATATATATATATTAAAAAGTAATAATTTACATGTTGACTGTAAAAAAAAATAGAATAAATTTACTACCACAGTGGAAATCTGTATTTTTACATATAATAATTTGTTCTTTTACAATATGTGATCATAACATTGTACTATTTTTACTGTATTTAAATTATTTCAATCCATATTTTCCATATTTGAAAGAACAATTTTGTATATTAAGGATTTAAAAAGGGTCATTTGTATTTAACTGTTATTTTACATATTGATGGTAAAAAGGTAAATATCCACATACATCAAATATTAGTATTTTTGCAAATAGTAATTTTCTTTCACATTGTGTGACTATAAAATTGCACCAGTTTTACCGTATTTAAATCAGCTAAAATTGTTTTATTTTATTTATTTTACAAATAAAATGTGCATATTAAGGATTGAAATATGTAACATAATGTAATAATAATAATAATAATAATTGTTATTAATGTTATAATGCTGATTTTGTTCAATAAGACCGATAATATCTAAAAACATTATGGGAACAAAAAAAGTTCACATTTTGAGTCAAAACAACCAGAACAGAATGTGAAAAATGTGTATCATGATAAATTGGACTTTTGTTCTTTTCCCGTGTTTGACCATCAAACTGCTCAGTTTGGCTGTTTTTAAACGTGGACGTGGCGGCACTGAGACGTTGTTGTGCACGTTCACCAGACTGAAGCATGAAGACGTTCATGCATCTTCATGCATCAGGCTGGACTCGGTCAAGTTCACGGAGACGTCAACGGGAGGATCGACCTGTAATCTGCTGGCTGGTGTCTGACTGTGAGCCGCTGAAGAATAGATTCCTATCTTTAGGTGTTCAGGTCCTGCAGTGAACTCCGAGCACGCTGATTGGATTACTGCACCACTTTGTCGTCTCTTTAAAGCTGACCTGTGGAGGCTCTGCAGGACAGTTAGACCTCAAAACCCAGCGCACCAGATCACGTCTTTAAAGGAAGTCCTGCTTTTTCACACACTTTAATTTGAGGCTGTTTGAACGACAACATCTCAGGAACTATCCATCCATCCATCCATCCATTATCTATACACCGCTTAATCCTCATTAGGGTCGCGGGGGGGCTGGAGCCTATCCCAGCTGACTTAGGGTGAAGGCAGGGGACACTCACATTCACATTCACTAC